TGCCTGAGTTCGCCCGGCACGCATCTGAAGACTGAAGGTTTCCAACGTAGGCCAGCACTATGCTTTCACCCTTCGTATGTGGTCTGACAAGGCTGAACATACTTTCCATGCAGACCCAGCAAAATCTTTAAGGTGTGGACACAATGAGCTCCTTCCCGAATAGTCCTTGCAGAAACCTTTGACAGCCTGCGCGCTCCCTGCAAGCTTCATGCGACCCTGATGCGGTTGATGAACAAAATCCTGTATGACTGTACGTATACTACGATTTAACGATTCCCATGGTTTCGGTATAGAGAATCATGTAGGATTGTGTCCATGCACTGTATGGCAGTCTCTCACGATAATCCTGAGTTAATCCCTGATAAGAGGCCCAACAAAAAAACTAAAATCCCCAACGTCTCCCCTAAACCCCAAACCCTGAACCCTAAATAGTAGTTTCCATTTTCTTTTCCAGTATCCCTGTATAACCCCTGTATAACCCAAACCTAGGGTTTCTCAGGTCCTCCCACCTTGAGAGACCCCAATGTAAACCTCAGCTTTCCTGAACTGCGTAGGCGAACACCGCCTCTGGGCCAACGGTTGGCCGCGCAGAACCTCACTCGCAGGAAGCTGACGTGCTTGTAAGGAATTCAAATGGGTCATAGAGTTCAGGGTTACCATATTGTGGGTATATGTAGGGTTTAGGGTTATCATACTACGGGGAAACTTACGCTCTTTAACAGCAACCCAAGAAGTGAAGATTGGGGAGTGTGCGTAGGCTGGCGGACCATCAAAAAGTAGTTCCGTCACCATCCTTTCTGATAATGGCCGAAAGTCGGCTTTGAATATGTATATATATATATATGTACACACACATATATATGTATATGCATATACAGAGTTTGGGTTTAGGATTCAGAGTTCCACCTTACAACTCAACATGTGTGTCCGCGTGAGTTTGAAAAATACGCATCGAAGGCTTTACATGGATGTGGAGAGTTGGCAGAGTTTGCTTTCACTCTAGTGTCCTGGGGCTAGGCCTCCTATAATACGATCATGCAGGCCACAAACCCTGAAACTCTAGATTCTGACTCCCTAATCCTGAAGCCCTGGAAACCTGAGTTCAGGAAATCCTGCGCTGAAAGACCTTCGAAAAAAATCTGAGACGCGAGCCCGCACAGTGGCTTGACACTCATTACTGGATTCCCCGAGGCATCTACGCCTTCTTTGGGAACCCCAAAGCTCCGCAACAGCCTTAGGTAGCAGAGGGACCCTCGTCATGGTTACCCTCATCCATTGTGGTCACATGGTGGCTGGGGAGGTCACCTAATTCTCTATACACTAATCTTATAAGGCCTCATGGACCCTAAATTCTCTAAATTCCCTAGACCCTAAATTCCCCAAACTTACAAACCCAAAACCCTGAGTCCCCTACATTCCCCTAAACCCCACAACCCTAAACCCCAAATAGTAGTTTCCATTTTCTTTTCCATCATCCCTATATAACCCCAATATAACCCAAATAAACACTAAACCCCAAACCCAAAACCCTAAACCCCAAACCCAGAACCCTAAACCCAAAACCCCAAACCCAAAACCCTAAACCCCAAACCCAAAACCCTAAATTCCCATGACCCTTGGAGCTGAGGCTGGCAGTGGCTATGCCAGAGCTGGGGTGGAGTGCCCGAGCCTTTGGCGGGCTTCCGGAGGTTTGGGGTTGGGTTTAGGGTTTAGGGTTTAGGGACTGAGTTGGGACGTGCGGAATGGGAAGGACAGAGAAAATCACTGAGTAGTTTGGAGCTCAGGCTCTAGTTAGGGACTTGGTCATCCGTTACTCTGTTGTTCAACATCTCCCCGCGCCTCTGGTAAAGAATCTCTATGTTCTTGGGGGAGGCACATGGAATAATGAACGGGTGAAGGGTGTATACCATTACAGGGAAGAGCAATACTTGTCCTACTAGTGGCCTGCGCGAGCATGTTTGGACTCAGCCATTTGAAGTCGAGGCCCTTGGGGGGTCTGGCGAGGTTTGTCCTAAAGACTGACAGTTGTCACACCATGTACCTTTAAAGTTCCCGTCAGTCCTACAAGCCTGTACGCCTGATCGAATCATCACCTGTTAATGAATGTCCGGCTAGTTCCGTTCAAACCTGAAGGTCTGTGAGCCGCTGTTCATGCCCCTCTTGCTAAAGCTTGAAGCCTGCGCCTCAGGTCTGTTGAATCGCTTTCCCTGGTAATCCCCACCCCCCAATATTGACACCCCCACCCCCCAATATCAGATATTCCCAATATAGTATGGTATACCGCAATGTGGATATTCAATAGTATGGGGTCGGGGGCTTCCAATTTCCAATATGAGGGTTGCCACAGCCAATGCCCATCACCCAACATAGCTTTTCAAGATTAAGCTGCATTAACCGGAGCCCTGAGATCACTTTGGCCAACAGGGTTTCTCAAGGCACCTGTATTCAGGTTTTATAATATTGGTGTAGAAAGCAGGGCCCGCAATCGTGCTGCAAAGCCAACCTGCACAGCAAACATGATAGCTTCCCTGAATAGGGACCCCAATATAGATCCCAAAATACTGCAATCCATTTTGGGAAGCCCTAATCCCCATGATCCCCTATATGATCCCAATTTCCACTTGATTTTCCGTTTGATGCTTCATTATAGTGGTTTTCATCATCTTTTCCAATCCCACTCTGATCCCTAAACCCTATATAGCCCTATTTAATCCCATATACATCACCTATATCCCCCTTTCAAAGCTACCCCTAATTTTGGGGAAACCTAATGGTCTCAGGTCCCGGACTCGTTTCTCGCCATCTGCTGGGTTTGGACCTCGGCTTTGGGGGTAATCGGAATGACTGTTTGAAGGTCTGTTGGAGGGCAGGCCATTGGGAAAAAAAGAGAACCCTCGATACCATGGCTTATTGCAAAGGATAACAAGTATACATATGTTCATATGTATGTTTATATACACATATCCATATGTGTATACATAGATGTAAATCTAGTTTCTACTTCTGAAAGCCATTTTGGTAGTAGACTGGGTGCCTGAATTTTTGAGAAGCCTGAATATTGTGACTCTCCGGCAGCACTGGAGCACTGCGTTCGCCACATGAACTTCTTGGAGATGGCTCTACACATGGCAGTGAAAGTGACAGTTCTGCTAGTGACACTGAAAGTACCACCCATGGTTATTGTTGTGGCAGGGGAGTAGTGGAGGAACAAGCACCGCAACTGATTACACCCTGCTTGCTATGGCTCATCCCGGTAGACCAAGAAGATGTAGACTCGCAATGTAGGGGCCTGCACTATTGCTACTGATCTTGCTTTGCACTGCCTGTGTGGTGCTACTGTACAGACCACTCTTCAGAACACTAGTCCTGCACACTCACCACCAGCCTCTTAGGAATCCAGCCCTATACTTATCCTTGCAAGGCCTGCAATTCCGGCTCTACACAAATCTCCGCTATTTCTTTCTTAGGCCGGTATGGTCGATCCCAACATGATTGCCCCAGGTGATTAGTCCAGCTGCTGGACTAGTCTTGCAGCCTTGCGTGGGTACTTTGAGCGACAAGTATGGAAGGACACACAGAGCTCACGGCTTGGGGGTTAGAGCCACTGAGTTGGGTTGGAGATGGTTGGAGGGTTGTGTTGCGCAGCTTTGGGTCGGGCTGTGCACGCGATGGCAATTCCTTTTCACGTCTACTTGCCTGCGGCAATTGCATCCCTAACAGACCCTCAAAGCCCCGCTTACACCGCCAAGCCTTCAAACCTTAGAAGCCTGTCACTTAGGTTGTTCCCCTTCCCGCTGGTCTTGGGTATACTGCGAATGGAGGAACCCTGATATAACTGCAATTCTTGTGGTCACTATCAGGGCTTGGCGGGGAGCTAGAACCCTCTAGGCCTGAACGCAGGAGGCCCTTCATAGTCCTATTCGGTTTCATGGCGGTGGTTGGCCTCACTGCAGCCTGGCATGCACGATTTCAGACCAGTCAAGGTGGCCCCGTAATCATGGCAAGGAAGAGAAGTAGTACTCCAGCGACCAAAAGACCTGCGCCCCCAAATATTCGGGGGGTGGCGGGGTTGAAATAGTAGGGGAAGACATTAGTGAGGTTCTGTACTGGTAGTACGCGTATTCTACTTGCAACAACAAGCATGCTGACAACACTTCAAGTATTGACTGCTACGCACAATGTCTATGACAGTCAATGCGGGAGATACTCTGCAGAGGCCACGTAAGAAATCAAGGGAAACGCTTAGTAGCCTGTGACGAGGAGCTAGTGGAGTACCAATCATCCCTGCATCTTACTGGGTCTCTAGGAATTGGGAGTCCATTTTGGAGGTTCCTGCTAATTCATACGGATCATAGTGTTGGGGGGTATACGAGGGGAGGGACCCTGATTTTTGGAACCCTCACATATTGGGGCTGGACAAGGGCGACGCAACACTGCCCAGGCGACCCCGCTCTTAGCCGAGCTTGCCTCCAAGGCATGGGGAAGGTTGCAACTGTGAATGGACGAAGTCCTGCAACACCTCCATATGTAACCTAGTAGATGCATCTACCTTCCCATTACAATTGCAAAATGAGGTACCCCAGTGTCCGGGTACGAGATCCTAGGTCATACGTGATTCAGGGTTCTTCCATCCACAGAAGGAGGCATTGTAAGGCAGAGTTCCTCAAGAGAGCCCTGTTTCAATGACCAACAGGTGCTTAGGATCAGCTTTGAAGGCAACAGATTTGTGAAGCTCTCTGCACAGCTTCTTTGTGAAACCTTCCTTTGACCACCCGAACCACCGCAACACTTGGAGAGGCTGTCGCACGGCCACTGGCGATAGTGGCCTTCGGTTTTGCAGACGTCAGCCGGGAGCTTAACATGCGTGCACTGACCAGGCAGAGGAAACATGAAACCTCCTGGGGGGAGGTTCCTGCGAAGACTACTGTCCCTTTAACGGGGGCTTTTATGAGCATGCACATTATTAGTTTGAGGAGTGGTTCTGAGTTTGCTGCTTCAAGGTCACGATATGCTGGTCACACCCACGCGAGCACAGATGAATGACGTCTTTGACCCCGACGCAGCAGAGATGCGGAGTGCGGTGCTGGGTGGTGTTGCTAAGACATTCGCTATGCTCTGCGCGATGCTGCTGCCGAAGGCCGCGGCCTTCTTGGTAGTCGCGGCTGTGGCGCTTGTGGCAACAGTAGCACAATTTCTGTGGTGCCAAGATAAAACTGTGTCAGACCTGGCAAGTAATGGTAATCACTTGACCGACTTGAACGGCTCGGAACGTGCAGACGCCACATCTGATACACCTCGGGTGTATCCTGCCGGTTTTTGGCAGCTCTGGCTTCTCCAATGTGCTGGCTGGCTCTCGGTGTGTACATGGAGCTTCTATTTCACATCAGTTTGGGCAGAAATTAAAGGAGCACGTGCCAGCACAAGTCCCAGCTTTGAACCAGCTGTGCGGGAGGCAACCGCCTATTTGTTGTTGGGCTCCTTTGTCTTCCTTGGTGCTGGAGGAATCTTGCCAAGAATTTCAGGGTCCTCCGGAATTTGTAGCGACGAGTGGGCATCACTTGTTATGTCCGTCCTGACCATGATGATGACATTGATCGTTCTGTGCCTGGCGCGCTTGAACAGTGAGCTGCGCTGGCTTGCGGCAGCTTTTGTGGTGTTGGCCATGCCTGTTGCATACCAGATACTTGCCAACTCGCCTTTTAAGTGGTTGGAGAGGCAGCCGGGCTTTGATGAGACCCAGAGAGGCTGGCTCACGGGCATTTTCAACACCGCCTTGGCTGTGGCACAGGCGATCGCGGCTGTCTTAAGTGGTCCTATTGTGGCTGCTGCGGGCGGCCGGTTGTGGGCTGCGTATGCGGCAGCCACCTTCTTTGACATGGCAGTTCTCCTCCTGGTACTGGTCATGCGGTTCACTTCAACATCCGTGCGGGAGGTGCGCCAGGATTCAAATGGGCCAGGATGACTGGTCCGAACTGCTAAGAAGAGCAGATGATGGCTCTTCATGCCCATGCCATGATGTTTTATGTGACGTATCCTTCTCCTGGTAGCTGATGTTCTCAGCAGCCCATTTCTGTTCCGTGAGGGACAGGTAGGGCTCAAATGGGTCTGGCAGAAGGCCAAAGCATGCCTTACTACTCCAAAATGGGGTTCGCCGTACAATGTCGGCCACTTTATAATGTTAACATCGCTATCCTACATACTTTGTTGTACAAACAACTCCTGCTGAGCGACATCACTGGCAGCTGTTATTTTCAGAAAGGACAGCTGAGGTAAAAAGAGGCAGGCGCAGCAATTGGCAAGCCAATGCGAAGCTGATTGCTTTCTCTTCCTGCACAGTGGAGCTTCTCAAAATGAGCTTTAGAGATTTGAAAGAGAAATTCCCAGACGGATGGCACTCCTAGTGGGTTCAAGTATTCAAATAATGGTGTATTAGGAATTGTAGTATGTGGGACCTAAAGCCCCATTATCTGGGTATTTGGAACTTCAGAACCCTAAACCCTAAACCGCCTAAACCCCTAAACCCTAAACCCCCCTAAATCCTAAACCCCCCTAAACCCTAAACCCTAAACCTTAGATCCTAAACGCTAAATTACTACTAGCATCTTTGGCAGGATCGTCCCTGTCTACGTTTTCGGCGAGGCTCAGCTGCGGGGAGCCCCAGCAGCCAGGAATGTTCAGTAAGGCATCCATGCAGGTTCCAGGGTTTTAGGGCTTAGGTGACTTAGGTGTTTAGAGTTTAGGGGTTTAGGGTTTAGGGGTTCAGGGTTTAGGGCTAAGAATGAGAATTCAGAATGGAACGGTCATTTCACACGACATAATGCCACAATGAAAAGAACTCGATGGCTGCCTTTGCCTCCCTAGGGTTTAGGGTTTAGGGTTTAGGGTGTTACTGGTTTTGGTTCGGAATGGCAGCATGGATGCTACTAGTAGCCCCGTATAGTCCTTATTAAAGGCGTCAACTCTCTTTCCAGTCCTCCGTTCCCTGCAAACAACCAGCAAGTAGTCCTCAAGTTTGGCATGCTGATCTCGAGGTGCATATGATTCTGGGTATCCAACCACGCGTTTCAAGTGTTTAGGGCTTGGGGAATCTGAGTTTGTCTATTCATGACCATCCCAAGGCTGCTTTCTGGGCAATTTAAAGCGACCTCACCCTAAATGGTAGTTTATATACGGAAGAATGCCAAAATGGCCATAAGTTGGGAACTACAACTGTTCTAGATTACCCTGCAGTTTGGGTCAGCATTCTACTTCTTGCGGTGCAGACTTTGACATGTTTAGTCAAACAATATCTCCAGGCTTAGCAGCCCTCTGTAGAAATCTGAGTGCCTGCAGAAAGGAGGGCATGTTTTGGGGGGTTGGGGTTACCAAAAACAGGGTTTAGGATTTAGGGTTTGGGGTTTGGGGTTACCAAAATATGTGCTCTTACCGGAGTTTCCGTTTACTGTGACATTGACATGTTGGTTGATGACTTATCCTGAGCGCAAGTTCGTCATTGCCTCAGCTTGTGGGCAGAGCAACGTCGCATGTCTGATTATTTTGGGGCGTTGTCTTAGAACAAGTCAGTGAGTACTATCCTCCTTGATGCCAAATGAATACCATGCTGCGTCTTCGTCCTGTTCTATCCTTGCCAGACTTGAAACACTGGTCCTTGTTTGGTATTCTCAGGTGTGCACCATGACATGTGGTGGTTTCCCCAAACAGGCGGACTCCAACATAGACCCACAACTTATAGTCCTTACTTTGGGGACCCCAAAATGATATCCCCTCATTTTGGGAAACGCTAATCCCTAAACCCTATATAACCCCCGTAACCCCCCTTTAAATGGTGCCTCTAGTTTCGGGAAACCCCCATGTATGCAGAGCTGGCAGGTTCAAGCAGTCGCGCGTTCTCATGGGCTTCCGGTCCTGGGTGCAGCGCACTCTAGGCCGCCACCAGAGTGCCTAAATGTACTATAGTCTAAACTGCTTAAAAGGGTTTTCTACGACATGATAAAGTGGACTCCTGTAGGGGTCATAGAGGGGTATACTAGGAGTTTGGGCTGTGGCTCATATGGGAGGTTCCAAAAATTGTGGGTGCTTTAGGGGCTACCTTTTCTGAGGCTTGTCGTATGTTGGGATCTATATTGAGGTAGTTCCCAAGATTAGGGGTACCATTTTGGGGATCCCCATAATAAGGACTATAGTATATTGGGGTCTATATATTCGGGTCCCCCTATTTAGGGAAACTACTATATTGAGGTACGGCCGCGGCGGGGGCCCCAGGATGAGCCTAGGATAGCTGTGAGTACTGCAACATCGACCTTGCTTGTGTCAACTGCACATGGGTAGTTCCCAAAATTAGGGTCCCATTTTGGTACCCCTAGATATTAGGTGCCTAAATATATTCTATAACCAAGAGGGGCTCATAATTTTGAGAACAACCCACATGTGTCCTGTCATTCTCTGCTGCTTGCCAGCTTCAAGCAGTGGGGCTTACAAGGCATACCCCCCTACACATGGTCTTTTCAGAACCCATTGACCATACCATGGCTACAAAGGCAGCGAGCCAGGTGGATGCCAAAGATCCTGCATAACCCTAAGTTCCGAGTACCTCGGATAAGAGTGCCTTTGAAAAGGCTAGTGAAATGTAGGGTTTTGAGTAGTGGCATTTGGTAGTTTCTCAAATAAGGGTCTCCAATACAGACCCCAAAATACTACAACCCTTACTATACGTACCCCCCACAAAGGCACCCGTAGTTTTACGAAACCCCCGTTTGGATTTTGGCAGGCGTGGCTTTGGTGATGCCCTACGGTCCCTGGGGGCTGTTGGTGTCTCAGCACAGGCTGAGACAAAGGGGAACGGTAGCATCCCTCGTGGAGATGGTGTTGAGGTTACTAGGGTTATGCAGGGATTGTGTTGCTAAGAGGTGGAAAAAAGGTTGGAAAGAAGGAATACGGAGGTTATGCTGGTTCTAACAAAAGTACATGTTGCATGATGTATGGGCTTCTCCATGTTCACGCCTCACCCTACCTATCTCAGGATGATTCTCGCAGAGCTCTCAAGAAAGGGGAACATCCACGGGCTACTCTGAATACTTGAGATTATCGGGTAGCATCAGGGACGGTTCAGGGTTTGGGGTTTGTAGGGTTTAGCCTTAAAGAGAAAGCAGGAATTGTACGATTACAAGTTTTTTCACCGGGACTGGGAAGTTTCAACGCCACAGACAATGGTGCGCAATATTGCTTGTCATTGTCTTGGCCTTTTGTGTTTGTTCATAATACAGCCCCTTTTCGATGACGAGCTGCCATATGGTAGTTTCCCGAAGAGGACCATCAAGTGTCCGGATATGGAAAGCACAATGATACCAACCATCAGGCGCCAGGATGCTTTGACTGTCCATACGATCTAGGGTTTAGGGTATAGGGTCTAAACTCCTTAAAGGGGGGTTATATAAGGGATTATATGCGGGATATATTGGGATAATGGAAAAGAAAATGGAAACTATTTAGGGTTTAGGGTTTAGGGTCTAAACTCCTTGGAGGAGGTTATATAAGGGATGATATAGGGGACTACTCTGGGGGTGATTAAGCGGCATACTAGGAGTTTAGACTATGGCTCATATGGCTGCATGGGACGTCTCTCATTTTATGGCCTAGTGGGTGCTGCGAAACTTCCACCAAGCCGTAGCTACTTCTTTATTGTTATTTCTATAATTACTAGTATTCTTGTTTTTCCTAGTATTATTATTCTTGCTATTATTGCTAGTATTACTGTTTTCCTTGTATTATTTCTACTATGATTACTACTATTACTCTTACTACTATGCCTTAGCCAATGCTACGCCGAGGCCATGGCAAAAATACCCAGATCCGGTGCGGATCGTCGTGGGGAAGCCATTAGGCATGCCCAAGCGGGAGCCCCAGAGGACAACCAGAGGGCAACGCGGGGCAACACATGTACTACAGTCTAAACTCCTTCAAACGGGGTTGTGTAGTGGGACTATATATGGGACTATATGGGACTACTATAGGTGTTATTAAGGGGGATACTATGAGTTTAGACTATGGTTCATCTAAACCTGCTTGGTACGTAAGTCACTTATGGTTCATCATGTTGGGAAACTCTCAGGGGTGTCTTTAGAGCCTTTAGTCACAGAAATGGATCCAAGCAGCGTGTCGTAATACGAGGGAAGCATGTAGCGCTCTGTTGACATTAGCACAACAAACGTTCTTCACCCACCGCCTCCGAGATTCCCGAATTGCTTGTGGGTTTGGGTTTGAAGGGCCTTCTCGGAGGGCTTCCTTATGGGGTTGTAACGGGTGATAGAGCAGATTTATCATGCGGGGTAAATTCGATATACAAAGACCACAATATGATCCACCCCCCCACTCCTTACTGAGCACCAGGAAGTCCGAAGAAGTAGTGGTAGCCGGCCAAGGTGCCATTTGCGAATGCTGTCATTAACAGGCCGTCATGGTCTTTGGCAGTGTATTTCAGTTCAAGGGTAGATGTTGCCAGGGAGCCCTACAAGACGTTTGGGGGCCTTTAGGTGCCTGAGGGAGTGCGAGGGGCATTAAGTCACGTGGCTTCAGTTTCTGGATCTCTGTCAGAACATCGTCATCATGATGATGATCATCCGCATGATCATCACCACTCTCCTCCCTACATTATTCTGTTAGTCAATTGAAAGGGAGGTAATGTAGACCCTTGATTAGTAAACCCTCTCCCCTTAATAGGGATTCTAGTCGGGATCCTAACATTAAGGCCCTTAAAAGGAGGGGGTTTATTGGTCCTGGGTCTTCCTTAGCCCTCAGCAAGTAAGCTGGCTGAGGATTCCCGCTCCCAGCAAAGCTGACGTGGCGGAACACCATGCCAAGCATGAGCCTGAGCTGACCTTGGATTTCTTATTGAGCTGTAGTCTACATTCAGATTCTTATAGGGGATTATGTAGGGGAGTAGCATTATAGGGATTATTAAGGGGGATACTAGGAGTTTTAGGAACTTGCTCTCATGAGTACCAGGTTATGACTGTTTTGGTTCTTCCTATTCCCATTATTCTTGTTGTTTTCGTTATTGGCGGCGCTGAAGTAGCCCTCGTGGTATGCGCCACCGCTACTTCGCTTGCATTAGTTCGGGCATGTGAAGCCCATCTCTTTTTGTCTGCAAAACACTACACACCACCTACAAAACAGCCCCACGCTCCCAAACCCTGCGAGGTCCCAAAACCCCAAGTCTCTAAACCTGCATCCCCTGAACCCTAAACTTCCAAACCATTAGAACCCAAAGACCTAACCTCGAGGTATGTAGAGGAGCTGTGCCAACTCTTCGAAAGACACAAGGCGCCACAATTCTTCGTTGTTGCGAGCAGTTGCTACAATGAATGGCAGTAATTGTCATAGCTGAGGCCACATCGCACAAGGCAGTAGTACTAGCAGTGTCCACAAGGGGAACTGGTCCAGATACATGTATTGAGGTGTTCGTTGGACAGTGCTTAGTTGGCTTACTGCTTTCTACAGCGTCCACAAGGTCTTTGCGGATGTGCAAGGTCTCTTTGACAGTTGACAATGACTATGGGGGGTTCCGTGGGTATGCAGGGGCGGTACAGGTGCGGGCTTTGGGTTGGACACCTCTTGTGATGCGTCTTTGTGGAAAATGGTTTTGGTCAGCCTGATGGGTAAAGAGCGTATCCATGTACCCCATGTACCCATGCCCTACCCCCACCTACCAGCGCCTACATGCTGAAGCACGCGTAGAAACAAATGGGCAATTTCATGTTGTGCCTGTTGAAGTTGGAAGCAGAGCCTACATAAGTTTATTTAGTAAATCCCCGCTGATACGTATTCTTTGAAGCCCAGCGTCTGCAGTAGATGATGCGGACTATCACCAAGTGAGTGGGGTCCGTTAACCTCATGCCTTGTAGAACTGGTTGTCATAACATAAGGAGTAGTAAATTAAAATAGCGAGTAGATTCCTAGGCTCCGTCATCGTAGTCTTACCAGCACTTGTACAGTCAGCGTTTCCGGGCCGCATGCTTTGAGAGGAGCTACACAATTCTGAAATAGCGCTCTGCCAGCACTTCCGTAATGCTGCAAACGTCTACTGCAAGATCCATGCTTCATGGAGGTCTCCGCATCGTCCCCAAGTGTTATTCCAGAGCGCATTTCCAGGCTCATGTCGACGAAAGGTGGTTCCTTCAGTGTTCTACGGTTGTACACATAGCAGCAGCAGGAGGAGGATCAGGAGTAGTAGTAGTAGTAGTAGTAGTAGTAGTCAATCACACTCGTACTCAGTGCCGCCGCCGAGGTGGTGGTTGGCACTTATTGCGGTTGCTAGTGTTGGCCGGAGTGGTAGGAGACGCAGCAGCAGCCGCCACGGCGACCAAACTAGCAAAAGTCATTGGTACCTACCAAATGCAACTTAGCACTTCTTTCCATCCAAAAAGGGTTCACAACTGCAAGTAGCGCAGACAATTGTACAAGAGAAAACTGTCGTGTTTTTCTTGTGAGGGCTAGCAGTCAGATCCTGCAAAGTCTAGACGCGTTGCCTGCAGGCAGCTGCCGGATTTCCCGAATCCACTTTGCAGATCGCGCCGACCCAAGAACGGCATTGTCAGGGATGCCATGTGCGGCCGCGATGGGCGCATCATCTAGGTCACTGTTATGTGGAGGTTCATGCCATGATGAATCAAAGGGATTCAGGCGGTGGGACCCGCAAGTCGCACCCCAAATCCAATCAATACTGAATCCATGCATATACATATATATATATATACACACTTACACACCCACTAGTGACTACATAACAGGTACTGTGGTCCCTACAGGGGCTCCCCAAATCCTAGGGCCAATCCTAACCCAAAATCCCTTGAATGATGGCATCCTTCAGTCTGCGAGTAGCTTTTGCCAAAGCTCAGGTTTGAGCATCTCATGGCTGCCAGGACATGTCGTGGAGAAAAAGTCGGTGCGCATCTTGCGGGGGTTTATAGTCCCCCTTAAGTAGATAGAATATGGGGTATATGGGGATCTTAGTATAACATACCCGAAGCCATATTCTATCTACTTAAGGGGGACTATATCTCAGGATGAAGGTCCCTCCACATAACCCAGTCCCAAATAATGTCAGGGCACCCTTCAGCAAAGGACTTAAGATTTTGAGAAGCGCCGTGGTGTGGAAAGTCTCGGGAGGAATCGTATGCGTAGTGTCTTGTAATTCGAGGAAGTCCGTTTTCAGCAAGGCACTCCTTTTGGGGACTATACTAAATGAATGAAAGCCAGATGAGCTACAGTCTAAACTCCTAGTACTTCCTTAACAACCCCTAAGGATACTTTCGCCCATATAACCCCCTCTAACCCTGTAATATTCCCCCTCTAAGGAGTTCAGACTATAGCTCAGATGGCCGTGGGCTTCGTTTGTGTTGGCGTTGTGGCCTTGCGAATGATTTTACCAACGTCGAGTCCAACCCCCAGACTTGTTCAAGCAAACAAAGGAGTTTCCCAAATTGGGGGTACCTTTAAAGGGGGTATAAAGGGGTTATATAGGGTTTAGAGTTCAGAGTTTCCCAAAATTACAGGTATCTTTAGAGGGGCGGGGGTTATACAGGGGTTATATAGGGTCTAGAGTTTAGAGTTTCCCAACATTAGGGGTACCATGCTGGGGTTTGGAGATATTGGGAAAATGGAAAACAGAATGGGCATTATTACAATGGAGAAGCAATGGAAAAGAACATGGAAAATGAAACGGAAACTGGGATTATATAGGGGATTGTAGGGATGAGGGCTTCTCAAAAGTAGGGGTACCATTTTGGGGGTCCCAATTCCAAGGCTTATAGTATTTGGGTGTCTATGTTGGGGTCCCCCTCTTTAGGGAAACTATCACATTCCGTGGATGTTCCATGTACGGCTCTCTAAAAAGGCTGTGAAGTACGGTCCATTTTTGTGGTTCAGGAAGTTTTTTGCAATTGTAGGACCTCCCACATATGGGAAGAACAACCCCCATCGATCTGCTCCCAATTCTGTTCCAAGACAAAGAGCGCGCTGCTCAATTATTGCGACAAGTTCAGTCAGCTAATTAAGTCTTTTCTGGTTGCGCAGCCTTCATTGCCATGGATGAACAGCCAGAAGCAGATGATTCCAAAGCTCCCAGCGGCAAAGGCAAGGCCAAGGGTAAAGCCCCAACAAAGTCTGCTGATACCGGTGCCGCCAAAGGCGGAAAGAAGGGGGCCGGGAAGGGCAAGGGTGCTCCAAGCCTTTCCAAGCAGCCCATCACACCGACCAAAGTCATGAAGCCGCTCTGGTGGAAGAGGCTGCTCTTCGGCACTGACCTGCAGCCAGGTGCCATTTGGGACAAAGTGCGCGACGAGACTGCGAGTTTACCAGCAGAAGAGCTTGAACAGCGCTTTGGCAAGGCTCAGCCTGTTCCTAAGACAGGCGCGGCAGGTGCAGCGGGCACGCCGGCTAGCCGAGGCACTGGTGAGGTGATTCGGATCCGCATGGACGCTGTTCAAGATCGTGAGCTGCGGCTCCTGCCTTCACCAGCCGAGTGCAGTCGTGCGCTGCTGGAGCTGGAGGACCAGCGCCTGGCCCTGGATGAGCTGGAGCGCTTGCAGAGGGCTTGCCCAACCCAAAAAGAGCTGGAGCTCCTGACCGAGGCCGTGTCAACCCGCTGTTTGCATCTTGTGACCATGGGGTTGCAAGCCTTGTTGGCAGCAGAAACTTCCATGTCTGCCTCTGCAGCACGTCATGTGAAATGCAGGAAGGGAAGCTTTCAATTCCTCCCGGGGGACCCCTAAAACTAATCTCCTACCCTACCCACCCCGATCATAAATACCGGCAGCATAGTACAGTTATGCAATAGGGGAAACATGTATTATTGGGGGTGGGGGGGTGGGGTGGGGTGTACATCGAGCCAAGCCCTATACCCGAAACAACATGGTAGTTTCGATTTTCTCCATTGCCTCTATCAACTCCAAGCCCTAAACCCTAAACCTGAGCCCTAAACCCGAAACCTAAGCCCTGAACCCTAAACCTTAAACCCTAACGCCTGAAACCTACACAAACCTAGTAGGGGAGGGGAGATTACTGCCTATGCACGGAGGCCCGCGAGCTGCAGCCTACGGCGCGCCTGGGTCGGCGGGAGGCCGTTTTTCTTACTAACCCCCCCAGTAACTATGCTCAAATGCGAGCTTCCCTATAGTACTACAGTCCTTCTTATGGTGACCCAAAAAGGTACCCAGAATTATGTGGAACCCCCAAATATATTTGAATGCCCTGAATCCTACACCCTAAATCCTATACAGCCATACATAGTAGGAGTACTGGGACCAGCTGAGCCAGATCCCGGCCTTTGCCGAGCGCCTGGAGTGTTGGCATTTCATCCGCACTTACCGAGACAGGGCAGGGTGCCAAAGTCAGCACCTTGAGGACTGATGTAGGGAATAGGGGAATGTATTATATAGGGACCATATGGGTGGTTGTCAAAATTATGGTCCCTTTTTGGGTCCCTATTATAATACGGCCCCCTAATACTTAGGGTACCAAAAAAGGGAGCATAATTTTGACAACCACCCATATAGGGATAGTCCCTATAGAAGATATTCCCTTATTCTCTGCTAGTTTTTACAGCTGACTCTTAAGGGGCAAGGGAGCTACAGGGTCAATAGAAGGCTCTTAGTAGTCCGCAGGGCCATGTTGTGCCTGAAGGATTTATCCGACATCTTCCAAAGCTTGGAGAAGTCGGAGGCCGTCCCGGCCCTTCTTTCATTGGTTCTGGGCACAGGGAACTGCATGAACCGCAACACTAACCTAGCAAATGCGCAAGGCTTTGACATTGAAGTCTTGGACAAGCTCCACAGCATAAAAGGTGCAGATGGCAGAAGCCTGCAGGAGCTGATTTTTGCAGTCTTCTTTGACTCGCTGAACAGCCAAGCGGCGGCGTTTGTGGAAGCATTGAGCCCTCTGCTCCAAAATGTCAGCCGCCGTATCATCCACGATTCTGAGGAGGCAAAGGTCAGCAAAGCAGTACATGTGGCTTTGGAAGAGTGTGACGAAGCCGTCTCCTCTCTTCATGAGACCACCGTCGAGATTCAGACTGCTCTGCAGAAGTGCGCAGAAAGCCTCGATCCAGCAGATCCTGTAAGGCTTCGTTTGCATCGAGAGTTTGCAACAGCCACAAAGATGCTGGGGCAGCTTTGCAATCGTTCTTTTTCCCATAACCCTCTTTAAGGGGCAAATCTATTTACACGTACACTCTATATATATATATACATACAGGAGCAAACATGCTAATATATGCTAATATTGTGAGGCTAGCAGCAGTTACTCAGAGCAGATGTTCATGGCAACTCCAAACAGATCCCAGGATGATCGAAAGCCTGGTGCAGCTGCGGAATGCTGTGAAGAGTCAGTATGACAACGTACTGCGGTGGCTGCAGGCATCAGGCTGGAGGACCCGACTTCGGTACGTTTGGGATCATATGCATATTTCCAGAAATAGCAGTGGTGCGATGGAGATCTGTCCCTACCAGGATGTACGGAAGCCCTGTCATTTCCCAAAGGGATTCGAGCCTTCAGACTAACTATCAAATTGCACAGGATACTGGAGAGACGGACTCACAAAAAGGCCCCGTAGCCTTGGCACACATTGCTTAACACCACCTCAACACTTCAGGTCAAGAGCATTGCAGTAGCTTGCACAAGGGTTTCATAGAAGCATCGGCAAGGGAGGTTTCATAGCTTGGCAATCTGGAAGCAACTATGCGATTCCATTCCCTTCCTCTTCCAGAGGAGCACCGACTTCTTCCTCCTTTGGGATAACTTCCTGCTGCCCAGCGAGCTGCTGGCTGCCCGCAACGGAGATGCGCCGAACCGGCTTGAGTTGATGGCTCACTAAGCTTAGTTGGCCAGCAGTCCATCAAAATCATGACAGTCCGCAACCGGAAGTAGCAAGATGAGCCCACGCCCAGGATTGAAAGAAGCCGCCTCACCAACTACCATGGCGCACCCTCGTTCCAGGATATTCCCAAAAACAGATTGCCCGAACCTAATCCGAAGCCCACAGCGCATAATGAATGCCCTTCTTGGACGCAAGTGTGCAAAACACCCAAACAGAAGCCTTGTTGCGGACATCTACCTTCCCTTCCTGGTCAATCTCTGATGCACAAGCCTTGCAACCCTCAAACGCCACAACTGAGCCCCGCTCACCCGAAATCTTCTCCCTCCCTTAGCATGGGCCCAGAACACAGCCAGGTCTGCAGAGGTTGAGGCAACCTTCTGCCAGGATTGGGCCCCTCTTATTGGGGAGCCTTGCTCACGTAGTAACCCCCTTAAGTACTAGTTGCAGGGTCTCCAGGCACCAAACCCACGAATATTCTTTCCCGGAGATTGCAGTCGCGTCTAGTACCGCATATGGCTATGTGTAGCAGGCGAAGGCGCTGCACACGTGACACGGATAGATAGTCTGTGGAAAGAATGCTTTTGCAGCTGCATGAGCCTTTGCATCCCCCAGATGTAAAGGGGGCCCAGTTGTGAAAGCTAACCCTGCAGTGTACTGGAGCTTGCCACGGCGGCAGGACGAAGCTTTTGGCTTGGAAAAGCTGCAAAAACTATGGCAGTGGAGTGCTCAGAAACGTCCTCTCCTCGTGCCCCTATCAGCTCGCAGTGCAAGACCACTAAGGCTGGAAGAGTTGGGGAGGTGGGATGGAAAGAAACTGACATGGACATCCTCATTTGCATCCTCTTTCCTGGCAGGGATCTTGGCGAGGAGGGCGATCCTCCTTTTCAAAGGACTGCCCGAGATGCACATCGGCACGTGACCTTGTTAATCATGGGATTTCCCTGGCCAACAGCGCAGGCAGCTGTCAAGATCACCGGCAAATGCGGAGGACCATCCACCTTTGCATATCGTTCCGTGAGTCCCTGATACAGCCGGCATAATTGGGGCATGATAACTGATTAACTCGTTCCAGATAGTAGCAGACAGACCACCGAGCAGACTGCAGACCTAGTCCCATTCAATTCCATCTCTCCCCAAATTACCTGTTGCAATCCTGAAGGAACCCTATACTTCTTTTGTAATCTGGGATCCACAGGGTTTAGGTTTTTAGGGTTTAGAGGTTTAGGGTTTAGGGGCCCGCTTTTTTGAGAAATCGTGCTCAAAGTCTGCCAGCATGTGCAGGAGACAGCATCAGCTGGTCCAACCTCACCCGTGTCAGCTCGCCACAGCCTCGGACGGCAAGGCGCATCCCAAGCAATTCCCTCCCCCTAATATGAAACCCCCCCCCATCCCTTCCCCCTGGCCCTAATCTTCAACATTTCCAGTATAGTAGATTATGTTACAATGGGAGTATTTTATATAGGGGGGTGGGGGTGTACTATTAGGGGATTATTAGTAAAGGCCCAGAGCCTAGAGGACACAATGTCCTCTCACTGAGGAATACTAGTTACTTTCATATGAGCTATAGTCTGAACTCCTCAAGGGGGGGTTATATAGGGGGTCAAGGCGGGGAATATTAAAGCGCTTATGAAGGGGGGATACGAGGCGTTTGGATTGTAGCTCATATTAGGAATCCCTAAACCCCAAATCCTAAACCAGCCCAGTATCCCTTAAGATTGTTTATATAGATGAGGAGAGGAGGTACTGGGCTCTCGGGAGGTATAAGACTTATAAGAGCCAAGCGCTGTCGGGAGTAGGTGCCAAGGTGCCACCGTCGCAAAGGGCGCGGCGCGCTTTGTATCCCTGCCATGGAGGAGCTTCAGCGCACCATGGGTAAGGCCTTGTTATACGAAATACAACGCATTTTTTGGAAAGCAAAACACGCTGCATTTTGCAGCTGCAAGAAGTAATCGCAGCCCCGTTCGATTTCGCGCTCGCGGAACCATTCACAGCCCGCATGCGTGAGGATGCTGCCAGTGGATTCGAGCGGTGGCTGCCTCATGCACAGATGTTCCCTGTGGCTTGCTGTTTGAAGCCACCAGCATGGCAGTCATCCGGTTAGCTATAGTGAGCCCTCTGTGGTGACCGTCATAGTGCCGTCCTCAGGCGAGAGGGTGAACAATTCCCGATTGCACGCTGTGCCCTCAGGTGAGACAATTTGGGCCCGCGCGGAGGCTCTGCAAATGCTTCACGATTGATCGCGGTCCTCATTGAAGTCTTTAGGTCTCGATGCCAAAGCCAGAATAGTTGCAGCAGGAGGATCCCGGGCTATGTCACATGAGTCCTGGTTCTGGGTATTTCTCAGAGTGGAGGTCCCCCTGTGTAGCCCGAAAGTAAGGTCTTGAGTACTTACCATCCAAGGGTGGACCCAACATTTTCAGACCTCCCATGCGTACACCCGGAAGACAGGCGCAGCTTGCGCCGATCCCGACCTTTGAGCTCGAGTCGAATCCTCAGCGAGGTGACTGATAACAGGGGCAAGGTAAAGTACGAATGTCTCAGGGGTTTCTCAAAAAAGGGCGGGGCTGTGGTGATTCTAGGGATAGATTGGGATGATAAAGTTGATGAAAATGGGGGTCCCTGTTGGGGATTAGATAGGGGTATGCAGAGGCAAGTTGGAGGAACTCCCCTGATATGGTGAACCTCAAACCCCTACGCAAAGAAGCAAGGCAGAAGCAACACCATTACTTCGAGGTTCATGTGCAGTTCTAAGCTATAAGTGCCGTTGTAAAACCGCTAAAGCAGGATAGCCTAGTCATCTGACAAAATGTATACCCAGTCATAATTTCCCCATGAACCCTCTAAATCCTAAACCCGAAATCCTAGGCCCACACCCTAAACCCTAAACCTGCAAGTTGCAGTACTTGTTCGCGTTCTGGTGCTGAGGGCAAAATTCTCCGCAGATGCCATCGCCGATGCAGAGCACAAGAGGCTTGCCAGAGAGGCGCTCCTGTGTGACTGCACCGTGTAGTACTTTATTAGGGTTTTAGGGTTCAGGGTTTTCTAGGGCGCGCAATGTGTGTGTGTGTATATATGTAAAGTAAGATTATGTCCTCCTTTTGGATATAGTACTGTATACACCGTAATAATCTTGCTAGGCTCAACCACCAACAACGCTATTCAACTAGGTGGGGGCCGAGAGGCAGGCCTTGAATGCCTTCAAAATTGGCAGGGCCCAAAGATGAGGGGTCTCCGAAAGAAGGGCGGGGCCTTTAGAGATTGTTTGGGTTATGTAGGAAGTTTAAAGCTCGAAACCCTACACTTCAAACATCAAACCCTAAACCACTTGGGGCAAAGAAACTAAACAATTGGGGTCCCTTGTTGAAAGTAACCATGCTTGAGAGGCAGACCTGACTTGGCTTTGCACACTCGAGCAAAGCAGGAAGGGACGTTGATATGGTTCAGGTTTTAGGAATTTAGGTTTTAGGAATTTAGGGTTCAGGAATTTAGGGTTTGGGGATGAGGGATTTAGGGTTTGGGGATGTAGGGCTTAGGGCAATGTAGTGGCTGTTTGCCAGTAGGATTGTTGCTGGCAACGATTGCATACTGCAAGGGTTTGAACAGCCACATACATGCTGTTTTTTGTTGTTAGATGTTTGTTAGATTTGTTGTTATGGCCAGTACTTCCTCTTCCTATTCTTTGGATGCTAAGTTTAAGTGAATCCCCCAAAAAAAGTTTCCAAGATGTGGGTGGTCTTTTGCTTCAGGATTACCATCTCTCAGAAACTGCCAAATCCAGCATTGTAGGGGAAACGGCCGTGTGAGGCTAGCCGCCGGAATGAGGAGATTGCACAGGCGTGCCTGGGGGAATTGAATTGAGCTGTAGTCTAAACTCCTTAAAGGGGGTTATTTAGGGGATTATATAGGGGAGTATTATAGGGCTTAGCAAGGGGGATACTAGGGGTTTAGACTATAGCTCAATTGAACATGGAATCCCGAATGGGCGATTAGGTTTTGGCGTTTAGGGCAGTTCTTCAGACAAGAAAGTGATTTCTGCCAGATTGAGATGAGGCTCTTGCTTCATCACTCCGCATCAACGAGCTGCGCAGTTCTCGAGAGGTTAAAGCCATTTTCTGGACTAAAGACGGAAAAACCAAGCTTGTAGATCTGTGGTTTCTTGGGATCCCACATGAGCTTTCATAGTGCAAACTCCTAGTATCCCCCTTATAATAATCCCCTATATAACCTCCTTTCGGGAAGTCTAGAGTCTAGCTTACATACGCTGACAATGTTTTCTCGCCCTCTGCGTTTGGAGCCTCCAGAGCTCAATTCATGGGTTCCCCTGCTACCCCCCTCTAGACTACCCCTCTAAGTGGCCGCCTTGATTGAGATTATTTAGGGAGAATTAGGCCTAATTAAGGTTGACTAAGGAGGAACCTAGTGCGGGTAGTACAGTGGGGGTAGTAAGGAAACCCGTGATCCATGGCTAAAGCTCTAGCAATCGCCGCTTCTGCTCCACTAAGATCCAAATCTCTTTAGAGTTTCGGGGCTAGGGTTTCCGAACCTCTTCCTTCAAAGTACCTACTGGTGCTTAAGGGGGAGTGGAGGATTGAGTATAGTATACAGGGATTATCATTGGGATCCACTCCCCCACTCCCTAATGCACCAGTAAGAGTAGGGGATCTTGCTTTCCTCCGTTTCTGC